TGGAGTCAGGGAAAATACTTACCGTTGCTAAGAGTTCCGATGCTACCGTTGCTCTGCAACAGTGTCAATATCCCAAGTTGATGATCCAGAACCAACTTCTGCACCGTGTCACCAAGAGTTCCTGTGGGAAAGAAAAGATACAGCTTTTCTTACCTGAGAGGTACTGGTCCCATGTACTGAGCTCCTTGCATGATAACTCTGGTCATTTAGGAGTAGAGAGAACTACAGAACTCCTTAAAGATCGCTTCTATTAAGCCCGGGATACACTGCACGATTTTAGCAATCCTATAAGATCATTACTTTATCACACTGTGCGACATGGATCGTTTAAACTTGGGTACGACAAGCATGTAGACTGTACGATGATGACACCTATTGAATCGTAGGCCGCGACGGCTGCAACACACGTTAGCGCAACGCCATCAGCATGCGCTAGTGGTAAACAAATACCGGTACATCAAGATGGATCGCGCTTTGGCAGTTGTGCTTTTCATGTGCGCTGAAACAAAGAAGAGGAGCCGGCAGAAGAATGCAATATGGACCCGCTCATGGTTTGGGAAAAGAGGACAACTTGGGATGCCAGTTTTGCACAGGGAGCTTGGCAGCTGCAGTTCCTCCGCTATCTCCTTCCATGCTATGTCCTTTTTGGTGCGCTCATGATAGCAGCTAGAGGACACATCGTACAAACATGCCCTCTGCTGCCACAACTCAACAAGAATTTGTTATTTATGGGTATCCCACATACCAGTATACCTTCTACTTTTTTTGCCTCCATGGCATTGAAATTGTAGCGCCGCTGGTCGTGTGGATCAATACGTCATGTTGCAATTTCATTGGCTGCTGAGTAGACGCAGGACGTTGCATCAAACACACTGTGCGTTGATCATGCTGAATTTCTGACACTGTCAGAAAACTATCGTAGGCTATCTTTGGTCGCAAGACCGGGAAAACGCCCGTCTTTGAACCTCTCTCACTGTACGACATAGGACCACCGATTAAGAGCCACGATCACAGAAATCGCCACGATTGCTTCACGATGGCAATCTTTCATCTGGGACAGCCAAAAATCGTGCAGTGTATCCCGGGCTTTAGCCTAGCCTCCTGGGGTCGACGGTGGCGCCGGCGCCACCACTTGCAGATTTTAATGATAACAGCAAAAAGAACTTAAAATGCTCCATCATATTTGATCGTACATATAAGAATAATACATCATTTAATTTGGTTAAGGGTCTACTTTTATTTGTGTACACTCACAATATCAACAAAACATTGTGCTTTTGTAAAATAAAGAAAATAAACATGGTGTGCTTTCAGTCGTCTCATTCTCCGTGCATATCTGTTTGAAATGCGTCACTAAAATGAACTGAAACTCAGTGAATACTCGACACAGAGACATGAGAAATATATCTATAGAAAGCTTGACATTTCTACTTTTAAACGAAGATAGTCATGTCGAAAACAAATATTATGTGGCAAAGTAATCAGTATGAAACCAACACAATGTCAAGTCTTGCCCGTCTGCCTTCATTATCTCTAATTAGATCACGCCCACGAGCCGCTTTTGATATTACAATAGTCCACGTGAGACGTGCGGCATGTAAACGGCCACATCACAGTAAACAAAGCAGTGAGACTTTTCCTCAAGTTCATCTCGGCTACTTTGTATCTGGAAGAAGACGCACTGAGAGGAATAAGACAGAATTTGCCTCAGATGAAGACGCGCTGAGAGGAATAAGACAGAAGTTACCTCAGATGAAGACGCGCTGAGAGGAAAAAGACAGAATTTACCTCAGATGAAGAGGCGCTGACAGGAATAAGTTTTGGATTTTCCTCAGAAGAACGTGGTGGCTTGATATCCAGTGGAGGATATCATTTACACAACTAAGTCTTTTTTTATTAGCCTACTTGCATTAGTTGTTATTGTGTTACTGTGATATAACTTGTACATATTTTACTAGTTAGACTTTTTCCAAACCATGATTCCTGACTAAATGTATAATTAAGTGAAACATTATGAAGATTCATTCACTGCATCTTATGTCTCACGACGCCAGGATGCTTTTTTATGTTCTATAAAATAGACAGCAACAATATAAAAGTAATATAGTATTAATATAGTAATTGTACTTTTATTATGCCTAGACTATATGGTAATATTATCTGTGGTTGATAGTGTTAAAATGTAGTTTCTGTGTTATTGGCATTCTGTTTTCTCATGAAGTATGCATACTATGCTAAGGTACTGTGGGGAAAAAATGCTAATGATTGTTTATAAAATTATTTTTGGACTGTGAATACACCACTCTTGCCTTCACCTGAATCTCTCACAGTAAGTGGGCGCTCGTTCAGTTTTCAACTCCATTCAGAATCTTAGAGTAAGTGTGCATTCACTATTTTACAGATGGTCATGGAAAACAGAGACTGATGTTGACATGTCCCACACTCTGAGATTCCTGCCCACACAGGAACCTGGACCACAGCTGAGACCATGTGATGCACACACTCCCATGAGTGTCTTCAAAATGTTGTTCAAGCTTCCTGCCGCTGTTTTGGATATTTTGGATATTGCACCCATGACGTCTTGACTCTTGTTTTGTTTTTTGTTTTTTCTAATAAACTGTTTACCTGCACTCGCAAGTGAATCTCAAGTTATTTTATGTGATTTATGTGTTTATTTTTCCTCACATTCTTTCTTGTAGCAATTCCCTCTCAGTCACACACCTGACTGAAAGGCTCATTATGCAGCTCATTATCCGGGCCGTTAATATGTTGAATGTTTTATACTCGGTCATTGGCGATCGTCTGATGTGTAAACGTATCAAGTAAGCTGTAAATAAGTGATGCATCGACAGACATATCTTCAGGCGTTCTTTCTTATCAGTGATGCAATTTATTTATCAGCTATGCATCTTCTGGTAATTGCTAACAACTTTTTCAGTTTTCGTTTAGGACTGTGGCTGCATCACTCGCATAATTGCACAAGAAAGGCACACGTGTCGTTCAGTTTGAGTTCGCTGGAAAATCATACTGAGTAAGTGCACAGTATAGTAATTGTACTTTTATTATGCCTAGACTATATGGTAATATTATCTGTGGTTGATAGTGTTAAAATGTAGTTTCTGTGTTATTGGCATTCTGTTTTCTCATGAAGTATGCATACTATGCTAAGGTACTGTGGGGAAAAAATGCTAATGATTGTTTATAAAATTATTTTTGGACTGTGAATACACCACTCTTGCCTTCACCTGCATCTCGCACAGGAAGGGGACGCTCGTTCAGTTTTCAACTCCATTCAGAATCTTAGAGTTAAGTGTACATTCACTATTTTACAGATGTTACTTTCATTTGATTTATTTACTGTATGGTAAAATATGTTTGCTATGTGGTAATTGTGTTCTTTGTGTCGATAAATTAGTACTAGTATCAGTGAACATCATAATAATGTTAATAATGTAGTTTGTGTAAACAGCATGCTTGCTTTTTTATTTCAGATGTGAGAATAACAGTGTAAAAGAACCTGTTGCAAAGAGAGCCAAAGCAAAGCAGCCCACTCGGTCATGGAAAACAGAGACTGATGTTGACATGTCCCACACTCTGAGATTCCTGCCCACACAGGAACCTGGACCACAGCTGAGACCATGTGATGCACACACTCCCATGAGTGTCTTCAAAATGTTGTTCAAGCTTCCTGCCGCTGTTTTGGATATTTTGGATATTGCACCCATGACGTCTTGACTCT